CGCTGCGCTGGTTGCAGTGCAGTGCACTCACTGCCGACTTATCTCTGTTTTGGCGGCGGCAGGGTGCAGGCTGGTGGGAAACGAGGCTGACAGACGTGTGGGTATTGTTTGCACGGCTGTGGGCTGGACGGCGAGGGGCAGAGAGCGTTTCTGTGCGGCTGTGGCGAAAGCGGGGGAAAACCGAAAGCGCACAGCTTCTCTTTTTCTTTTTTTGCCGTCTCCGTCTCAAATTCTCGTCGAAATGGAAATCTACTTCGCTGTAAATGTTGCTGTCGTCTCGCACGCGGTGTGCGCCTGCAGGTGCAAGCCGCTTCTTTCTGACGTGTGTGTTGTCCATAGACGCCACGCGAACTCTGACTGACAAAGGGAGAGAGACACTCCCGGCTTTGCTGTGCGCGAAGGCCACCAGGGAGAAGGCCATCGTGGCGGTGGGACGCAGCTATGTATAACGTCCACTGCGAAAGGCTGACGACCGATGCTGATTTGCTGCTGAGTCATTACCACAATGACATTAGATCTTCCGGTCCAGCTGCACTCGTTTCGTCAACAAGATGCACACATCGTTCCGGCCATCCATTAATGCGATGAATCTGTACGTCGGTTTCTCATGTACCCAGCTGCACACACAAGCCTCCCTTGATCTACAGTACCTGCCTCTATCTATTCTCTATCCATACAAGTCCATCCCTGCAGCCTGGCCAGGCTGCAGGCCCTTCAATCAATGAATGACGCAGGCAGGCCTGGCTACCCTCTTCATGCATGCTTCCCATTTGTCTGTCCATCAATCCATCACACCTTCATGCCATCGAGGATGGCCTGCGCATCGCAAGACACACACACACACACACACACAGCGTCTCCAAGGGCCGTACGTACGGAGTGCATGTGCAGTGTGTGTACCTTGGCTTGTTTGAGCGCCTCTATTTCCTGGTCCCTGGCCGTCTGGCGAATGTCGAAGTTCTTCATAATGAAGTCACACGACTGGTGCACACTGCCGGCATAGCTGGCCAACTGCTCCAGGTCGGTCATGACCCCCGCATGGTCCTGCTTGGCCTGAGTGAGGTCCATCTCTGCCGTGGCCTTGCTCTCCGACTTGTTGGTGATGTCCCGCTGCTTTGCCTCGATGTCCGCATTAGAATCCTGACATGAAGCATGTACAGCACACACACATGCTAGATGGAGGGCGTTGTGTCTCTGTGCATCATATACATTCAGTACTCACCTTGACGAACGTTTCGTATGCGGCCTGTGCGTCCTGTTCCGCGTTGACGGCCTCCTTCTCCATGTCGGCGGCGTCATGTGTATCTGCTCCAGCATGGATATGACCCCACGGGACCCGCCCTAGTTCTCATATGACTTGAACCCGGGGGGAGGTGGGGGACCGGCGGCTGGCTCCTGCTGCTGCTGATGCTGCTGCTGGGCGGTGGTGGCCTGGATGAGCTCTGTGCCGCTGGGCGGGGCGACAGCCTCCTTCTCGTAAAAGGCCTTCAGCACCTGCAAGTCAGAGGAGAGAAAGAGCGCCAGGCAGGAGGGCTGTCTGTCTAGGTGTGGGTGTGCAATGTGTGTTGACCGACCGACCTGTATGGCTTGAGCGATCAGCTTCTGGGCCTCCTGCTGATCTCTTATGGTAGCCTGCATACATACATACATAGATTGCACACAGAAGTGTAGCAGCCAGCAATCGGCTGAGTTCACTCCTCGCCTCCAGTGTGTGTCTCGAGTGTGTATTCAACATCATCCCTGTGTGAGAAGATACCTGCCTGGAAGTCGGCGTTTTCCTTCTCCCTGCCCGCTGTATCTGCAGCTGCGACTCCTTGATCTCGGCCTCCAGTGTCTCAATCTCCTTGCCGAGTGTGCTGATGGACTGTTCCAGCTCATCGATCTTGATCTCCAGGTCACCCCTGTCGCGTGTCTTGATGTCCGTCTGACGCTCGTTGGTATTGAGCTCACTGATACACCTACACATTACAGATGTGGTGTGCGTGCACAGGTGGAAAGGACACACAGAGGTACACATGATAGATATGCGAACATAGGGTGCAGGCATACCATACCTACCAGTCTCTGTGTGTGATTTCATCCTGTTTCTCCTTGGTCAGCTGCTCGACCATGTTATCTATCGCCTGTCCCAAAGCATCCCAACACAATCACACACGCATAGACTCCCTGTTGGCTCTGCCGGCATGGATGTGTCTGCGTATTCACTCACCTTCTTGACTTTTTTGAACGGGTCACCGCCCATTGATGTGGCGATGGCCAGCAGCTCCTTGGGGTGCAGTGCAGTGGAGTTGCCAGCCGCCCTGCGGATGAGGGACGCAGCGGCATCACGCACACTGCGGCCCGACAAGTCGCGCATCCGGCGAAGGGAATGGACACGCACCTGAACCACACACATACATGTTATGTTCCTTCCAGTATCCACTGTTTTGTGGCCGAGCGCTGAGTATGGATTGGTACGGTACCCTACCTACCTGCATGAGTGAGGGGTTGAATGTGCTGGTGAATGTGTCGTGTGCGTCGTCGTTGCTGAGGATGGCGATCGCCTGAGTCACCGCCTGCAGCTCCTCTTGACGCGTCTGTGCACAGACAGACCAACAGAACACCGACCAGCACAGAAGAACGCCAGGTAGGGTAGGTAAGGGTGGACGTCCTGCCAATTCCGTGTTCTGATCCATCCATCGGCTGCCTTGCCTTTTGCCTCTGGTTCCATTCCTCGTCTGTCTGCTGGCACTTGACCTTCAAGTCCATCAGATACCGCTGGTCGGCGCCGAGGGAGTTGCGCGTGTCCTCAATGTCCTGCTTAGCCTGCACACACACACATATACACAGACATGTACATGACATGCACCGCTGATCCATCCATCCATGCCTGCAGTCTGTCTGCATACATTCCAATTTACCTGCGCAAGTTTCTCCTTAGTGTCTGCGAGGTTGACGGTCTTCTGCTCCATTTGCTCGCGGCCTGCATTGATCTCGGCCTCCTTGGCGGCCTTGAGCTCCTCATACGCCTGACCAACGACCGGCACATATAGGAGAAATGGGTGATGCCGTGCAGCCAATGTCTCTCTTCATGGCTGCGTGCCTTTTGTTTTTGCAGCTCCTCTTTTTGGGCGTCGGACATGTTGGCCTCGAAGTTGTCCTTCATGTCGCGCAGAATGCCGAAGATCTCACCTGCTCACCACACACACGCAAAGAGAATTTGCTATGGTAAGACTCAAGTTACATACACCTTTCTTTTATGCTGTGTAGTGTACCTGACTGCGGTGCATATGGCTGTTTGAATGTTGGGCTCTGGCTGAGGTGGTCGGCCGGCTGCTGCAGGAAGGACCGAATGCGGCTGCCGGCCACTTTATCGCCCAGCATCCACTTGTACTTGGTGCTCATCGACCGCACCATAGTCCGGATGTTGAGGAGCGTCTCGGGCGGCGGGGCGTGATGCTTCGACAGCACAGTGATGGCCGCCTTCAGCGCCTGGATGGACTGCAGCATGTCCTGCACCCCACCCAACACGCACACAAACACACAAACACAATGCGTCAAGATGCATGGAGGAGGATGGATTGATAGAGGGATGGATGGATGGATGGATACATATGATATGTACCTTTTCCTCTTCTGAGAACTCTCCATGTTCTTTGTCCCGTATCTCTGTGGCCTGTGCAAGTGCCTTGATGTTCGCGGCGATCTCCTCGTTGTGGTTCTTGATCTCCTGCTCCAGACGGGCTGATGTTGCCGTGTGCGCCTCGATGGCCGCCGTCAGCTGGGAGATCCGGGCCTCCGCCTCCTCTATGGCTGCACACAAAGATGGACGGCACATCAGCTGGAGGCGACGTGTACGTCTCCTTCCCTTGTTTGTCCTCCCGCATTCACCTTTGGTTTTGTCTTTGTAATTCTTTTCGCACCAGCAGCTCAGCTTGTCAAAGATCTCCTCATCCTGCACCGGACAGACACCATGGCGTGCGCGAAACACGCAGGGCGAAACGGGTGTCTGCCGACCGACCAAGATCTCTGTCCGTACCTCTTGCTGCTCCTTCTCCAGCTGGACCTTCATGTCCTTCAGGAGGACTACCACCTTGGATACTGGTTGAGGGCCACGACACGCAACACACAGTACACAGCATCCACGCATCCCGCCCTCCCTGTGGTGATCTTCCGCAGATCTTACTCGGCCTCTTCTTGTTGGCGTCCGCCCTCGTAGCCAGGCGTGTGGCGAGGCGGCCGGCAGCCACATTCCCCGCCAACTGCAGAAGGCCGATGATGAAGCCGATGACGGCAGCTCTCATGACGGAATGGGCACTTATGAGGCCTTTTCGGTGGTTCAGGAAAGGCGAGAAACGGAGAAGGACTTCTGGCGGCCTTTCGTGAAGGATTGCAGGCGGGGAGCCGGGCGCTGGCCGGGATAAATATTAGATCAGGCTCGCAGACGAGTGCACCAAGGTTGGCTGCCGCTGCGTGTATCGGCGTTATCTCAATTCGCGGTACATTCGATGGGCCTGGATTTCCTTCGCAAGCCTCAGGGGGCTGTAGATCTGCACAAGTCCGGCGGTGGCAACCCATCCCTTTCGCGCACCCAGCTGCCGTACGAGAACCTCAGCAAGCGGTTCCTGGTATCGACGGGCCAGTACAGCCAGCAGTACTCGTCTCTCTACTACGTGCGCCTGGAGCTGCTGGGAGAGGCCGTCCTCAGGGCGGCGCGGGCCAAGTGGGGAGGGCAGCTGTCGAATGCGCAGTTCCTGGAGGCGCTCAAGAAAGCCAAGGAGGGCGGCGAGTGCGTGGTCATCGGCACCCTCTACAAATCCATGACGTACGTTGTTTCACACACACCATCCATAGCCTACCCTACCACGTTCCTTGGCTGTCGCTGGTTAGGCTCAAGCCGTCGGTGCTGCACGAGTACATGAAGCACCTGGCCATCGAGGGGCCCATGGACAAGTACATCTCCGACAGCGACACCCTCTACCTCGAGGACCAGACGGCTCGCGTCCAGCTGCTGGGCAACACCCCGCCCGTCGGCAATGTCACCACCGGCCTCATCGTGGCCGTCAGAGGCCGCATGTCGGACGCATGCTTCCACGCAACCGACTACTGCCTGGCGGGCGCCACCAGCCCCACCCCAGGACCTGCCCCCTCCCCGGAGGCCCCCCGGTACGTCGCCTTTGTGTCGGGGCTGCGGTTCGGAGACGCGTCGGCCAACGAGGTGCATCTGCGTCTGCTGCACGAGTACCTGCTGGGCAGCAGCGGCAGTGCTGAGCAGAAGGAGCAGGCGTCGCGCATCGGTCGACTGATAGTGGTGGGCGACACGCTGGCCGCCGTCAAGACCGAGGGCTTCGACGTCAAGGTGGTGGAGCAGGCCGACGGGTGGCTGGGGGAGGTGAGCGCCACCCTGCCCGTCGACGTCATGCCGGGTGCCACCGACCCCTGCAACGCCACGCTGCCGCAGCAGCCCATCCACGCCGCACTCTTCCCCCACTCCCGCCGGCAGGCCGACACATTCCAGTCGGTGACCAACCCCTACGACTGCCGGGTCGGTGGCGTCCGCATCATCGGCACCTCGGGGCAGCCCGTCAGGGACCTCATGGCCTTCTCGTCATGCACCACACCCCTGGACGCACTCAAGCTGACCGTCCAAGCCCGCTGCCTGGCGCCCACGGCCCCCGACACCATGGGGTGCTACCCATTCACCAAATCCGACCCCTTCTGCATGGTCAATCAGGACACCGGGGAGGGGGCCAGTGTCATCTTCTCGGGAGGCCACGACCGGGTGCAGTACGAGCGGCTGGGGGTCGGGGGGGAGGGCGGGGGAGAAGGTCAGGGTCCGCTGTGCGTGTGTGTGCCCGACTTTAGTGTGGAGCCGGTGGTGGTGCTGGTCGACATCGACACACTCGAGGTAGACCTAGTTGAGTTCGGGGCATAGCTGAAGGAACCTAGGAACGTAGCTTGCTTGCTGAAGAGGGCAGGGCGGGTGGAGGGAGGGGGACGGAGGGGGTGGGCGGATGTGTGTTGGTGTGCATAGAAGATGGACAGACGGATGGGCGAAAGAAAGGGGGGGCTGGCTTTATTCACTGAACGATGGTTTAAGTGTACAGACAACCAGACAGACAGACAGACAGACTGCAGCTGATGAATGGTTGATACTTCGTACACGCGACCAACCGACTGACTGACTGACTAGTGGCACCACAATGCACGCCGGGTGCGTGGCGCGCTGTCTGTGTATCCGTCCTTGGATGGATGGATAGATGGACCCCTCCCTCCCTCCCTCCCTCGTACATCTATTCACGCACGAACGCACATCCACTCACCCACCCATCCACAGACGCGCGTCAATGGGTACACACGGTCACCGATGGTACGCATCCCAACAATTGCTTCACTGTACAGTCAATGCCTCCACATCAATAACACCCGGCAAGGCTCCCATTCTCCTCTCCCCACTGTCCAACAGTCAGCCTCTCCCCCCGTCAGTCACGCCATCTGTCTGTGTCTTGTGTGCTGGCAGCCGTGTCGGCAGCTCCAGGCTGCTCGGGTTCTGCGTGTCGCACACCGACGGCCAGCTGCACTCACATGAACAGCCCCTCACTTTGCGGAGCGTCACCGACACTCGCCGCCCCCTCTTGAGGATTCGCCCGTCGACACAGTCGGTGCGCCGGGATGCAATGTAGTGTGCCCTAGGGATAGATAGATGGACAACATAACATACACACGACACGCGGCAAGCAAACGAGTGAGTGCATGAAGGGACCGGACCTATCATGGTGTCCATGTGCTCTTCTCCCTCCGCACGCTCACGCACCATGCATATCTCGCTTCGCCTTTGAATATGAGCAGGGAGCCCTTGGTAAGGTACAGGAGCTTCCGATCACACGGCTGTGGTGAATCATCGGCGGCAGCCCTCCTTCGGAACTCCATGACACAGCCGCTGCCCAACGAGAGCGTGCCGATAGCATCTTCGAACGCCGAATGGGTGTCGATGTGACATCCAATGCCCTCGCCGACATTGTACTCGTTGACGGTGATCTGATCGGTATCGTCAAGAGGCAAACCCGCCAGCCTTATCTTGCTCAAGAGCCCATCAAACATCGGCGGCAGGTCGCCCACGCGCTTGCTGATGTCGACAGACTTGGAAGCGTAGCAGAATGCATAACCATAGTGCTGTGTGCGACGCCTTGTAATGCTCTCGGTCCCCCATCGCTCATCAATGGCCGACCGCAGGGCCTCCTGTTCGCTGGCACTTAGGAAGTCCTCGATAAGCTGCAGGCCGGGGACGACGACATCTCGCGTGACGCTCGTGCAGGTAGGGCTCGGAAGTCTCATCAGAGGGCTGGCAAAAGCAGCAGAAAGGACAGACGGACCTGCACGAAGGATGGCCACGTAGATCGTTCTGGGATCTTCCTCTTTTCTCCATACCTTGTCGGTGTCCACTGTGCTGCAGCCCTTTTCTGGGAGGAGAGGGGGGAAGAACAGGAAGGAAAAAGATCGCCAGATGAGCTCGCAGGCGACTGGGGAGGGATGGAGATATCCCTTGTGTTGGTGATTCTGCTCAATGAAGTCATCGTATTCAATGCTGCATCGGCTTTCCTATCAACTCACGGCGGATCTGCATTCAGGGCGAGACCGTCAAGCGTCTGGCGGCTGCAGAAGAGACCACCATCATCCAATGCACGTGGCCGCCTGCCAGGACGGGAGTCGGCGCCTCTATCGGCTGCCTTTATGTCCCCCGCGACGCTGCCGAGGGCTGTGGACGGTGGTGCAGCTGATGTGGATGTGAGTGACATCAGTCGTTCGAGGGTGTCACGCGGCACACTGCAGGAGATCGGGTCGCTCATCAAGTCGTTCGGGAGGGTGGGCGCACTCGACCGGTGCTGGCAGTACTGGAATGAGCTGCGTCAGACCGGCACCCCACCTCCAGCGCACATTCTTACCATCATGGTGTCGGCACTCGCCAACAACGGACAGGTGGGTGCTGCCATGGACTTATTGAGGAGCCTGGAGGGAGATGCCAACCCTGCAGTGCGGGCGAGCGTCAACGAGGTGCACTACTCGCGCCTTCTCACGGCTCTGATTCGCGGGGACCGCTTCGACGAGGCCCTTGCTCTGTTGTCTGAGTGGCGGCAGCGGCAGACCGGCCATGGTGAGGGCCCACAGCAGGGAGCCACGCGTGTGCTGTTCCACACCATCCTGGACGCACTGGCGCGTATGGAGTCCTACGAGCAGGCCGAGTGGGTGGTGGGCCACATGGGCAGGGAGGGAGTGCCGCCCTCACACCTTTCGTACACCATCCTGCTGCGGGCCTGTGAGGGCAGGGGCGACGGCGGCAAGGCCCTCCGGCTGCTGCAGGACATGTATGACCGCCACATCGACCCTGACAGTGAGGTGTACGAGGCTGTCGTGTCGGCGCTGGCCGGCAGCCCTGTGGACCTGACCCAAGACCTCACCGAGACCGCCATGGGCATCGTGGCCGACATGGAGGAGCGGCACGTGCCCGTCACGGCGGCTATCCTCATCCCTCTCCTCAAGGTCTTCGCCAGATGCAGAAAACTACTCAGGTGAACCAACGACTCAACGAAGAGGGAGACACGCCAAGGACAAACAAACGTGTCGTGGGTAACTCGTCGTGTGTGATTGGATTGTGTCTGTCAGGGGTGTGGAGGTGTGTGAGGACCTCGCTGATGCGTACGGCATGGCCCCCTCAACCACCCTCTACCAGCACGCCATCCGCGCGGCATTCGATCAAGGCAGCACCGACACACCTGACCTCCTCCTGAAGCGCATGCACGCCAGAGGGGTGCTCTTGTCACAGGCCGTCTACGACACCCTCGTCGACGGCTATGCACGCAACAAGCGGTTCGAGGAGGGCATCAGCACCATCCGTGAGGCCTTCGGACTGCCGCAAGGAGGAACAGGCAGCGCGGCCCTTGGGGGCCATGAGGGCGTGAGCGACAAATCACTGCTGCAGTTCATCGCCCAGATGATCGTCGAGCGAGGCGACGGTGCGGTGGACGGGCTCCTGCACGAACTGCGGCACTATGCTGGTGTGGTGGTGGATGGCGGCGCACTGGACCGCTGTGTCCAGAGGGCGCGGGAGGCCGCCACTGCCAAAGCGGCCGAGGATGAGCTAACACCACTGAGTACCCTTGTGTCAGCCAACGGCCACGGTGGGCAGACAGCGGCAGGAGGGAGTGGGAGGGGTCCATTTAGTCGGTCATTGGGTGCCGACGCTGCGTCTCGAGCACGGCAGCTGGTGACAGCTCTGCGGTCCGAGCCGTCAGTGCAGGGTGCGGGCGGTGCGCAGAAGATCCGTGTGGGCGTGCTGGGTGCGTCGGGGTACACGGGGGCCGAGTTGGTGCGGCTGCTGCTCAACCACCCAATTGTGGACATCCAGCTCCTCACGGCCTCTCAGCGGTCGGCAGGGCAGACACTGGGCGCCGTGTACCCCCAATTCGACTATGTCAGCCAGGCAGCTGACTTGCCGCGGCTGATGGCTTTGGAGGAAGCTTCGGAGCTCGGTGAGGGCGGGGTGGATGTGTCGAGTCTTGATGCAGTCTTCTGCGCCCTGCCGCATGCCAAGACACAGGAGTTCGTCAAGGTTTTGCCGGCCAGCGTCAAGGTGATCGACCTGTCGGCTGACTTCCGCCTCATGGACACCGACACTTACGAGCAGTGGTATGGCAAGCCACACGCAGCCCCAGACCTGCAGGCGACGGCTGTCTACGGGCTGCCAGAGCTGCATCGGACAAAGGTGGAGGGCGCCCGCATTTGTGCGAACCCTGGTTGCTACCCCACGCCCGCCCAGCTGGCGCTGTGTCCGCTGCTGTCGCATGAGTCTGGTCCCCTGATCGACGCCGACAGCATCATCATCGATGCCAAGAGTGGCGTCACGGGCGCCGGCCGGGCGCCCAAACAAAACACACTCTTCTGCGAAGGTACCGTACACTGATCGTGAGCATGCTCAAGTTACCATCCACCGATCCATCCGTGTGCTGTGCACGACTCTGTGTGTGTGTGTGTGTGTGTGCGTGTTGGCTGGCGCATGCAGTTGCCGATGGGATGCATGCGTACGGTGTGGCGGCCCACCGGCACGCGCCCGAGATCGAGCAGGGCCTGTCGGAGGCCGCCGGCCGCCCGGTGGTCGTCAACTTCACGCCCCACCTCGTGCCGCTCAGCAGGGGCATATTCGAGACCATGTACGTCAAGATGCGGGACGGCGTGACGGCAGAGACTCTCAAACAGACCCTGGCGGACAAGTATGCACCGGAGCCGTTTGTGCACGTGCTGGAGGGCGCCAAGAGTGTGCCCGAGACGCGTCACGTGAGGGGCAGCAATGTGGTGGCAATGAACGTGTTTGCGGATCGGATAAGTGGTCGTGCCATCATAACGGCGGTGATGGACAACTTGTGCAAGGGTGCGAGCGGCCAGGCGGTCCAGAACTTCAACATCATGTTCGGCCTGCCCGAGACCACCGCACTCAGCGGACAGCTGCCACTCTTCCCATGAGAGAATGATTGCACTTCTGTGTGAGGGCTGTGATCGATGGACAGGCCTTGCCCGAATGCATATTTGCATGGGCAATCGATCGTATGGATGGATGGATGGTGGGCGGTGGGCAGGCGACGATTCCGGAGGGCGTGTCTTCTTTCCTCCGTGCGTGTCGGTGCGATGGATGTTTGGTGGCGTCAGTGAGTCAAGTGACTCAGGCGGGCTGCGGTTTACGCAGGGATGCATCGACTGGACGAATGTGATTGATCTGTGGATCATCCATCAGTCGGTCGACTGACACGCAGCAAACAAAAGATGAGACGAGAGTGAGAGTGGTATTGACAAGTAAGTGTCCCTCCCCTAAACACACACGAGCTGAATGTGGCCGGTTAGCTACACTAACACCCACACCTGTCTGTCTGTCTGTACACACACGTGCACCGCACCCACGCCATGGATCACCTCACAGTCTCCCCCAGCTAGGCAGTGGGCTGTCAGAGGGACTCGAGCCTCCCCCTCCGATGTCCTGCGTGCTCTCTTCATCGTCGCCAAGGGGCATCATCACCTGCGCCAACTCCACCCTACCCAGCCGCGTGTAGCACCGCGCCTCCCTCAGCCCCACCACAATCCCCCGGGGTGTGCCGGGCTCGTCACCTCTGAAGTCCTCAGGGTCAGCAACATCCATGTCACGGCGCCAAAACCCACGCACACGCCTGATGGATGGATACATACACACACATACGAGGCACACGCAGCAAGATGTAAGTGAGTAGTGCTGGCAGTCGACGGAGTGGAGTGCTGCCTGGCGGCCAGCCGAGCTCAGCTGTGGGAGGGGGGACTCACTGACTCACTCACTGGATAGCTCGTGCGGGCGTGAAGTCTTTGCACTCCCACATGCAGCCCGTGGCCTCCCCCTTGAAGCGGCTGAATCGCTTCTTGACGTGAGCAGGCCTGCAGCCACTCACACACATGGCCATCACGGCACGCACAGGGAATGAATGCACTAATGGTTCGACCGATTGATGGATGCGACAATGAGTGAGTGAGAGTGTGGCCCTGCCTCCCTGCCTCCCTGGCTGGCTGGCTGGCTGGCTGGCTGTCCGTCGGCACATACATGCATACCTGCTGTATATTTCCCATGCAGTGAGGTTGGTGAGCAGGAGTCTGAAGTTGCGGAGGCACAGCTGCGACACGAACCACACCCACACCAAGTCAACACCGCACACAAACGCCAGCAGTTGACAACGCCACTGAATGAACACCACACACACACAGACCCAGACACACACACACAATGGGCTCTGCTTGCTCTATGTGTGTGTGTGTGTGTGTGTGTGCTGTCTGTGTAGCTACCTCTGCAGGTTCGAACCAGGGTGTGTCTGCGTGCATGACGATGTGTGTGTAGTAGAGCCACACGGCGGGGTAGGTGAGTACGATGCCCAGCCAGCAGAAGAAGATGAAGGTGAAGAACACCCGCTGGTTGCCCACACCAACCGCGTTGTCCACCCACGGACAAAAGTGGTCGAAACGCCTTACACACACACACACACGGATGCCCCTGTGTGAGCTGTGTATGCCAGGAGTTCGGGTGTGTGTGTGTACCTACCTGATGGTTCTGCCGACCTCCTTGCAGTAGTGCACGCGGGGCGTCTTGACGCTCTGGGGAATCAACATGATGCCCTACTCGTGTCACGCCGGACAGCCACACAGGTAAGCATATACACCACAGGCCGATTTGTCTCTCTTTTTCAGGTGTGGTCTGGTGTGGATTTACTTTGAGCTTCCCCGTGAGTATGTTGTTGAGGTATTCGCCCCGCCCTTGGGCGATCAGCCGCTGCCGACGCTCGGACGACACACCCGCCATCAACCAACGCATACGACCCTGCACACACGTACACACACACACACACACACAGACAGACAGAGAGAGGAGATGACTTGTGTCCGCCAGCCCCCACAACTTCGCCCTCTCTCTGTATCTGTCTGTCTGAGGTACCTCGATGTCCCGTATCTGCTGTTGCTTGTCAGCACTGAGCTCGTAGAATGATCCGTCGGGCACGTTGTCAGTGTCGGTGTTGCCGCCCAATGACGATGTCACCGGCGGGATTGGCTGCTGGACCACCACACCCACAGGTGACAGGGGCTGCTCGAAACCATCTTCCTCATCGTCTGCTTGATCGTCCTCCTGCTGCTCGTGCTCCTCGTCTTGATCTTGCTCATGGTGGTCTTGGCTGTCTTGCTCCGTGTCCGCCTCTTCCTCTCCCTCTCCTTCTCCCTCTTCCTCTCCCTCTCCCTCCACCTGCGCCTCCACCTGCACCTGCCTCTCCACCTGTGTGTGTTGGTTGCCGTTATCCATGTCCATGTCTTCATCGGGTGTAAGGAAGGCCAAATGACCGGCAGCCGGCTGCTGCTCCCTCGGTGATGCGTCGGATGAGAAGCCCAATGAGCCCCACCCCCATGTGGTGGTGTCTGTGTCGTCGGGCCAGTGGGAGGGAGAGGGGTCCGGTTCGGGCGGTAGGAGGGGCGTGTAGATGGCGTCGTCGTCCCTGCCCACCCTGCTGCTGGTAATGGTGGTGGTGGTGGTTGGCTTGGGCTGGGAGTGGCCTGAGGTGGCATTGGTCATCAGGTCCTCCGCACACCGCAGGGTGAGGCTGTGCAGGTTGCTGATAGATAAACTCAACCCAACCACACACAGGAGATGCGTCACGTGCGATGCGTCAACGTTGTCCCATAGATACATACATTTCGGTGTGTTGGAGTGATTTCTCGTTGGGCCCCAGGTCATGGGGTGTGATCAGCAGCCGCGGGTTCTGCTCCAGCAGACGCACGTCATCAGCCCACGACCTTTACACACACACGTAGATGAAATGAACGAACCACTCCCGTCAGCTGGTTCGGTCCAGCTGAGCTCAGCTGCACTTACCGTCCCGTCATGAGATGGAACTGTTTTCTGATCTCGATCTCGTCAGCAAAACCTGGATCTGACGTGTACGCTGCACATACATACATACGACACACATACATACAACCAACCGCACACGCGCACACACATCTATCTATGTTGTGGTATGTGGCTGGCTGGCTGGCTGGTTGATTGCATTGAGTGTGGCGTGTCCGGTCCTGACAGGCCAGGCTGAGTGACTGACTGACCTAGCACCCACAGCACTTGCACCACCAGCCACATTAGTGCCCACGCCGCAAACATGGCCAGCACGCCGTCGTGGCCCTCGTTGAGACGAACATCAGTCGACGCTAACCTGACACACACAACACGCAGGGCCACACAGCCAGATGCACAGATGCGTGTGGTGTGGTGGATATGGTGGTCAGGTGGCGGCGTGCGGTGTGTTTGTGCTACGCGAAGACGAGGAAGCTGAATGCCTGCAGCCACACGTAGATCTGCAAGCCAACCACACACACATGCACACAACACATCGTCAGAATGAGTGTGGGTGTGAGTGTGTGTGTGAGTGTGTTGTCGTGTGGTGGGTCCCTCCCTCCCTCCCGCCTCACCCACCCATGCGAATTGGTTGGTGAAGATCAGCGGTCTGTTGAAGACGCGGTGGTTGTAATGCCAACGCTGCATTCACCACCGACACACACGAGTGTCAAGTACCATGCCATGCCATGCCGTCTGTGGTGTGTGTTTACTTTGAGGTTGAGTGGGAGGCAGCAGGCGGTGCTCCGCGATATCAAATAGGGCGACACACCTACTCACAGTCACACACATACAGAGGCACTGAAGCGTCTGTCGCTGTGCTGGTATGCAGCCCACCGCCTCACTAACCTCGGACATCCTTGTCGTTGGTGAGCATGACGCCGCCATAGCGGACCAGTGTGGTGATGACCTCCTCGTCTACTCCATTCTTGACAGCCAAGTGAAGCGCTGTCCGACCTGCACACACAACACACAAAGCCCTCTCACTTCAAGGGGCCACATCCCGTACGTCACGTCATGTCACGTGATGCATGGCCTGACTGACCGAGGAAGTCTCTGGCGCCCATGTATGCGCCTCTGGCGATGGCCCACTGCACCTGACGCACGTTGCCCCTCATTGCCGCAACCATCAACGGCGTACGGCCCTGTGTGACCAACACATACATACAACCAACCACCCAATAGCGAAGGACACACGTGGCCGGACAGACAGACAGACAGACAGGAGGGTGGCTGACCATACATACCATTCGGTCTTTCTCTTCCAGTGACGCACCGGCCAGCCACAGCTGCACACATGACACCACAACGAGAGCACACCCCAAGCAGAACACCATCCATCCTGCTTGTGGCTGTGTGCATGCCATGCCATGCGTTGGTTGATTGCGTACGTATTCCATGACAGCAGTGGGTCCGTTGGGGTTGTCATCGTCGGTCTCCGCCGCGAACACACACATCATCGTCGGCTCGTGGTC